CCGCTCAAAGTTCGCTGAAGTATTCCGGGCTTTCCCCAAGTGGGCTTGCCGAAAGGGTTCTTATAGTCAACGCGCATAGTAAGGACAAACGACTTTTTCAAGGGTGCCCTTGGGTCCTTGCCTGCCTCAGCCTCTGCGGCCCGTCCCTAGCAATTCCCGCGGGCCAGAATGCTTTAACTTCGGCCTCCAAGGGTCTTGCGTCCTTTCCACGCGTCCTTACTATACGTTTTCATTGTATTTAGTCAAGAAGAATGGTGCCTCGGTGCGCTCGTCGCCAGGCCGCGCCAAACCGCGCGCGCCTCGTAGCGCAGCGCCGTGCCGCCCCTCCGCCCCACGGCGCGGCGCGCTGTAGCCCCGGACCCCCAACGTCATGACGTTCTCAGAACGTCGACCTCCACAGGTCTGGACGTCGACCCGCGGGAAAAACCACAAAAAACACAAAAATAATACGCACACCGTGTTTTTGTTGTGTGTGTTGCTTTCCCAGAGTGTGTGTGTGTGTGTGTTTGTGTGTGTGTGTGTGTGTGTGTGTGTGTGTGTGTGTGTGTGTGTGTGTGTGTGTGTGTGTGTGTGTGTGTGTGTGTGTGTGTGTGTGTGTGTGTGTGTGTGTGTGTGTGTGTGTGTGTGTGTGTGTGTGTGTGTGTGTGTGTGTGTGTGTGTGTGTGTGTGTGTGTGTGTGTGTGTGTGTGTGTGTGTGTGTGTGTGTGTGTGTGTGTGTGTGTGTGTGTGTGTGTGTGTGTGTGTGTGTGTGTGTGTGTGTGTGTGTGTGTGTGTGTGTGTGTGTGTGTGTGTGTGTGTGTGTGTGTGTGTGTTTTGTCCCACTGTGTGTGTGTGGTTTTGTGTGTGTGTGAGTTTTTCTCCCAGGACCTGTTTTTCCTCCCGAGTCGTTGTCTGACGCTCCCGAGGCCCGGGAAGGGCGCCCCAAAGCCCGGTTCCTCAAGATTCCCCGGGTTCCTCGGGTTCCCCTCCCTCGGTGCCTCGGGAGTGCTACGCTGCCCGTTGCTCGGAGATGCCCCCTGGTTTCTCGGGTTCCTCGGGGTCCTCGCAAGGGGGGGGTCCTACTTGGCTTAAGCTTGGTGCCTCCTGTTTTTGTTGTCCGTTGCTCGGAGGTTTCTCGGGTTCCTCGGGTTCTTCGGGTTCCTCAGGTTCCCAAGCAGTGCCAAGCAATGCCCAGCAATGCCAAGCGCTACGCCCATGCAATTGGAAGCCGTCCCCTACTTGGGGTCGCGCTGGGTTCATTCGTGGGGGCGTCATGGGGCCTTCTTGCGGACACCAGGTCCGTTGATTGAAAAGTTTCTCTGGCATGGGAGATTACTACGGTCTGCTTTTTTGGCTTAGCGTGTCGCTCCGCCGGTTCTGGCGACACGCCAACCACTTCCCAATCCCCAAGCGGCAGCGTCCCGAGCCTTTCCGATCCTCCCGCCCCGCGGAGCGGAGCGACGCGCGATCCGCTCACATGGCATAGCGTGCCGCCGGGGCCGCCGCCGCAAAACGCTAGGCAAAAGTTCCCGATCGTAAGCCCGAAGTGATTGATGCAAGAGGTTACCGCTCACATCGCTCTGGGTGCCCAACCTGACTCCAAGCTGGCCGAATTTGAGGCATGACACCAACATCGAAGCTGGAGTCGGGCCATCGGCACTCCTGCCGAAGTAGCGTCATGTGCAAGACGACCAGACTTCGGCCTGCATCGGTTTCCCGATAATTGCTTTTCGTGTTCGGGGTGTCCTTTGCGTGTTGTATGCCCGGACGCGCCGGAACTCGGCTTCGCCGACGCTTTTTGACGAGCGCGTCTTGGATTTTGACGGTGCAGTTGTCCTGGGTTGCGTGCAGCGGAAGTTTGCGCCAAATTGCAGGTTGGGTCTCGTCCTTTTCATGATGGCCCCTCGTTGGCCGACCCAAGTCCCCCGAACCCGAGTCTTACGTCTCCCCGGTATGTCGGAGGGGCACCAAACCAGGATGGGCCTTGCCAGGGCTTGTGGCGGTGTGTTGCTTGGAGCTCTCTTATTCAGAGCGTGAATTACCTACCCAGCTTTCGCTTCCAGGCAAGACCAAGTCATACCACGCGCCTCCTCGTCAAGCGGCCTGACCAGTACAGGCCGTAGTTTGGCATCGCTTGGTATCTCGTGGAAGCGAGGGTGGTCAAAAGCGAGGTAGGTTAGTTTGCCCCCCACTTATTCCTGCCCTCCCACGGAGGCGAGCTCGACGCCGTTGCCGCGTTCCGCGGCAGTCGTGCCGACGCGGAAGTGGCCGTCGGCCGCCGCTGCGCTGGGGAGGCGGGCCAGCGCTCGGGCGCGGGACGGGGTGGGCACGAGCGGGCGTCACGGCCAGCTCAAGACTCAAAAGAGGCATGTTCGCCTCAACATTGCCATTCTAGACGGATCCACGCACGGATCCCACTCTCATCGCTGCACCACCGGTTTCGTAGCATGCGTAGCATGCTGTCCCCTCAAGTCGCGGAACATCGCGACGGGCCGTCTGCGGCTTCTTTTGGCGTTTGGGGGCTTGGACCGGACCCACGTATTGAAATCCAGCGTTGGAGAGGATTTCATTTATCGGGGTCCAGTGTGAGAGGATTTATGAATCACAAGGCAATTCGCACCAGGCTTGCCAGAGAATTGGCTGTTAGAGGAAGCTGCGGATTGAAAGTCAGAGTAAGAGAGGGTTCTACCGTGTAAAGTAAAGGGTTCGAAAGGAGTCCGAAATACCGTGCATTTCAAACCAGAATTGCCACACAATTGAGTTACAGAGGAATTGCGCATTGAAGTCCAGAGTTACACATGCTTTAATTGATGAGAATCCAGATTTCGCACGGATTCTGAATCACAGGGACACCCAAACGAGAATTGCAGGATAATCGAATCCAAACTGATTCCACGCATAAGAATCCAGAATTCGAGGGAGCTTCATCTTTCAAGTTGCAGGATTGGAGAAGACGCCGAACCACAGAGCAAGTCAATTCAGAATTGTCTGAGAATTGGGACGGAGAGGCATTTACGTTTCGAAACCCAGGATTCGTGAGGAATGTACGTATTAGTGTCCAGTGTCAAAAAGGACCCCGAACCACATAGCAGTTCAATCGGATTGAAATCCAGAGTGAAGAGTGGAGAGTGGAATCCACAGAGTGGGATTCACGTATTGAAATCCAGAGTTGGAGAGGACCTTTACAGATTTAAAACCCAGGTTAGAAAGGACTCCGATTCACAAAGCCAGTCGAAGCAGAAAAGTCAGATCATTGAGTTCGAGGGGGATTCACGTATGGAAATCCAGTGTTAGACACGATACCATTCATTAGACACAAGGATCAGGCAAGATGTGGAATCGCAAGGCAAGTCAAACCAGAATTGCCAGGCCATTTAGTACGAAGGGGAAGCGCATATTGAAATTCAGTGTTCGAGAGGATTTACCCGAGTAGAACCCAGAGTTCGAAAGGATACGGAATCACAACGCAATTCAAACCAGCATTGCCTGATTATCGGGCTGGGGAGGGATCTCCACATGTCGAGGGGATCTTTGATCACAGAGCAATGCAAGCCAGCATTGCTAACTATTTGATTTTGACGGGGGTGCATTTGAGTTGGACGCGCATGTAAGCAATGATATCCAGAGTTCGAGAGGATTCCGAGTATCGAAAAGGCCTACGGCGAATCACCGCCGCCCCGTGCCTTTTGAAATTGCCCATGTGGGCGAGAGTTGTGGCAAGAGCTCTGCCATGCTATCGGACCATGTGTTCGCCCAACCGTTGTGGAAACCCCATCAGGGAACATTTGGGGGAGGATGGCGGGGAAGATTAGGAGGAGGAGAAGGAGGAGGAAGAAGAGGAGGAGAGGGAGAAGAGGAGGAGGAGAAGGAGGAAGAGGAGGAGAAGGAGGAGGAGGAGAAGGAGGGGGCATCTTGGGAGCCTTTGGGGACACTCTTGGGGCCTCCTGGGAGCTTCCTAGGAGCCTCTTGGATGCATCTTGGGGGCCTCCTTGGGCCTCTTGGGGGCCTTTGGGGTCTTCTCCGGTGCCTCTTTGGCCTCTTCGGCCGTCTCGAGGCATTCTTGGCCCGTCTGACGCCGTCGGAAGCCGTCTTGGGGGCCTCTCTGGGCCGACTTGGAACCCTCTTGGGGGGGTTGCTCCAGGGCCGTTTTGGAGGGGGAGGAGGAGGCAAGCCGCCTCTTGGGGCCCTCGTGGGACGCCCTTGGGGCGCTTTGGGGTGAGCTTGGGGCAGTTTGGGGGCCCTCCTGGAACTTCCCACGTGGCCCTCTTGGGGCCCTCTCGGAGGTTCTCGATCACGGGAGGGGGGGTCCCCGCTGTGCCTCCCCCTTCCTGGGCCCTCAAAGTTGTCGGTTGGGGCGCACGCGGGGCCCAAGGGCCGTCTGGGGGGGGGGGGGGGGGGGCATCTTGGGCCTCCCTCGCGGCTCGTCCTGGGCCATCGTGGACGCGAAAAAGGAGAGAAGGCAAGCACAGGTGATATCCCCTAGGTGTTTGGGTGGTTTTGGCCTCTCTGGCGGGGGGGGTCCTGGGGGGGGGTCCGAGAGCACTTGGAGCCGTCTGTTGGCCCGCTGTGGGCCTCTAGGAGGCATGTCGGAACACACGTTGAGCCATCTTCGACTATCTTGAGCCATCTTTGGGCATCGGAGGCCCTGTTGAGGCCACATTGAGCCATCTTGGACGCTCTAATCCTTCGCCCCCCCTCCACAAGAAACCTCGGTGAGGGCTGGGGGAAGGTACCCCTGCCCTAAGGGAAGAGGGCTGGGTGCTGGAAGAAGAAATAAACACATCATTGGACCACCTACGCCCAGAGGGCTGTTGGGATCGGTGGAAAGCAGCGCCGAGCTGGTGTGGAGCATGCGCCCTGTAGACCGAATGCAATTCGGCCTGGCTCCGAGTTGTTACGCAGTTTGATTGATTTACCAGCGCATCGCATGCATCCGTCGTTTCGCATTGATTTTGCTTCAAGCATGGCTTTACCAAACATTAGCTTCCCGGACACCGGCAAGTCTGCCCAGTCCAGTCGCGATGGTGACTCTGATCCCACATCGGCTGAGCTACGGCCCCGCGGGGTCTGCCGCCGAGGACCAGGCTCGCCTGGCGCTGGACGACATCACCGCGCCCGAGTTCAGGAAGGGGCGCTACGAGGTTTGCCACTACCACAACGGAAGCCTCGGCGGCTGCGTGGGCCCGCTGGCCATTGACCAGACCCTGTGGTTCGGCCACGAGCTCCACACCCGGCTCCAGGAAGGAAGGGCGCACGTCGTGGTCGATCGGGGACGTCCCAGAGGGGGGTGATGACTACAGTCGGGGCGCTGAAGAAGGAACCCTTTTCGTTGTGGCGGGGCTCGGTGTTCCTTGAAAGTTTCAAAGTTTGCCTCGGGCTTTCCTGAAGTTTTCCACGGGAAATCGAGATTGAACTTATGGGAAAAAGGGGCTTCGTTCCTTATTTGGGGTTCCTTAGGTCAACGCCCCGACTGTAGGGGAGGGTGGATCTCATGGCGTGGGCCACGATATTTCCCCTGATGTCATGGCGTCTCTTCTTATTCTATAGGCTTGCGCCACAGCCGCCGACCCCTATATAAACCATTGCGCTGTCAGGACTGCATGTCACGAGGCTTGTCCGAGTCCTGGCACGGCGCTCGGCATCGTTCCTGTTGCTTCGTTGCTGTTATCGTACCTCTTGGTGCTCTTTTGTTGCCTTTTGGTGGCATCTTGGCCTGTCTGCAGGCCATATCCGGCCGCCTCGATGCATCTTGGGCCAAGTCTTGGGGCCTCTTGGGGGCTTCCTGGGGGCTTCCTGGGGGCTTCTTGGAGGCCTTTGAGGTTCTCTTGGGGGTCCCTCAGGGCCTCTTGGGCTGTTCTTGGGGCAGGCTGAGGGCGTCTTTGGGCCGAAGGCTCGAAAAGATGCCCTCTGGACTCCGTCTTGGAGCCGTCTGGGGGCCCTCTTGGGCTGTCTTGGGGGCCTCGTGGGCTGTTGTTGGACCCTCTTCGACCCTTCTTGGGGGCCCCTTTGGCCGTGTGGGGGCGATACTGAAGGTTTCTTTGCCCGTCTGGGACGACGTGAAAACCGAATAGGCGGGCATGCAGAAAATGCTTGTTTTTCGATGGGAATGGGACGACTTTTGTTTCTTGGGACCCTCTTGGGGCGCATCTTGGGGGCCTTTTTTGGGCGTCTTGGCAGCTTCGGAGGCCGCCTGGAGGCCATCTTGGGCGTCCAGGGGCGACATTTCGGCGAATCGTGCGTGACCATCTGGGGAGCGTTTTGGTGCCTTCTTGGCCAGTGTTGGAGCCCTCCGCTCCCCCGTGGCGCGTTCGGTCCGGGGTCGCGCTCGGCCCGGGGGGGAGGGGTCAAATTGCCGGTTTGGGGTCCCTGGGGGGGGGGGATTAGGGGGGGGAATGATCTCACACGCCCAGAGACAAGGGGTCTGCGGAGTGCATTACGTTCCCTGGCCCACCGCTGGGCCGCGCACATGCCTCGGGCCATGCTTTGCACACGCCCCTCTTTCGGCACGAACGAAATGGGTACGGAAAGGATGTGTACAATGCCCAATAGCAGTTCCTGTTCATTTTGAACGGGACTCGCTGTCCGCGCCGCCGCGGCCTGTGCCCACTTGAGACGGAAGGCCGCCTATCCAGCAGCGGGCGCCGCTGGTCTTTGACAGCGTTTCTTGTTGGGCAGTGTGCCCATGTTCTCCGTGCCCATTTCGGGCGTCCAAACTTCAGGAGGGGGAAAAAAACACACAGACACAATGAATCGTCGATGCCCCAGAACAGATGGGAAACTATCCAAAGTGGGGGGGGAAGACGAAAATTACAAAAATATTCAAGAGGGAAAGAAACACACAGACACAATTAATCGTCGATTCCCCAGAAAATATGGGAAAATATGGGAAGTGGGAGGGAAGACAGAAACCCTGAAAATATTGGAAAATATTGGGAATATTTGTATGTGTGTGTGTATATTTATTTGTGTGTCCCGGGGCCCCTTCAAATATGGGAACATATGGGGAATAGTTTTATTTGTGTGTATTTGTTTGTGTGTTCTGGGGCCCCTTCTATACTCTCGGACGCCCCCCTCCAGGGCTCGTTTCGATTGCTCCGATTCGATTCGATTCGATTTCGATGGCTTCCGATTCCGATTCGATTCGGCTTGGGATTCCGATTGGGGTTCCGATGTCCTATTGGAAGCGCACCAGCCCGTCGATGTCGGCCGACTCGGCTTTTCCCGACTCGGCCGCCGATTTCCGCGGAGTCGGCTCACCTCGATCGCCGATCCGACTCGTCGATTCGATTCTGGCCTCGCCTGCCCCAGAACATATGGGAAAATATGCCAAGTGGGGGGGAAGACGAAAATCACCAACAATAGATGGGAACATATGGGGAATCTGTTTATATTCGTGTGCATTTGTTTTTGTGTGTGTGTCCTGGGGCCCCTTCTAACCTCTCGGACGAGGACGAGGAGGAGGGAGGAGGAGGAGGAGGAGGAGGAGGAGGAGGAGGAAGAGGAGGAGGAGAAGCCCCCCTCTCTCGGCCGCTCCCGAGGTCGAGTACGCGCCCGAGGAGCGCCGGCACCTCGCCGTGCTCGTGGGCGCCTACCTCGTGCTCGCCCGGGGCTGGCGCGCGGAGGAGGTGCGTTCGATGCTCGTTCTGGGGACCTTCCTGAGGCCCACCTCACGGATCTGTTCGACTCACTGAGGTCCTGAGGCCCACCTCACGGATCGTTCTGGGCACCTTCCTGAGGCCCACCTCACGGATCTGTTCGACTCAGGTTCGGCTCAGGTTCGACGCAGGTTCGACGCAGGCTCGACGCAGGCTCGACGCAGCTTCGACTCGGGTTCGACTCAGGCTCGTTGCAGCTTCGACGCACGTGTGGAGCGCGTCCCCCGAATGAGTATTCGAGGTGCGGGGCGCCCTGCCCGAGGACGCGCGCCTGGCCTTCCCGTGCTCCTGGGCCGCCCCCGCGGGCCCGGCGCCGGAGCACGGCGCGCCGCGCATGACGGTGCAGGCCTGCTCGGGGACGAACGAACGAAGATTCCACGGTCTCAAAGTGGGGTCTCACAAGTTGTATGTGATTCAGCCGCCCACTCCTGTTTGGGCCGCCCCCGCTTGCGCATGACCGTGCAGGACTGCTCGGGGACGAACGAAGCAGCCATGCGAAATGGAACACGAACGAGCTCCAGCGTATCGGGTCTGCCACTGCTGCCACGAAAGGTTCCACGGTCTCAAAGTGGGGTCTCACAAGTTTTATGCGATTCAGCCGCCCACTCCTGTTTGGGCCGCCCCCGCTTGCGCTCGCTTGGGCCTACTCGGGAGGGGGAGCAACAAAACACACGGACACTTTTTTGGATCCGCGGGTCGAGAGCAAGCCTCTTCCCCGGTCGAAGCTGAGCGGGCCGCGCACGGCTTGAAGGAACGAGAGGGAGCAACAAAACACTTTTTTGATCCGCGGGTCGAGAGCGAGCCTCTTCTGGTCGAAGCTAAGCGGGCCGCGGTGCAGGACTGCTCGGGAACGAACGAAGCAGCCATACGCAGAGCGCGCGTGGGCAAGACAATTAGCGAGCGTGCGAGCTGCGCCAGACGCGTCAGCTGGCGGACGGGTGGCGCCCAACGCGCGACAAGACAGACAGCGACGACGCGCCAAATGCGCGCCCGCTTGCGCTCGCTTGGGACTGCTCGGGAGGGGGAGGAACAAAAGACACACTGACAATTTTGTTGGATCCGCGGGTCGAGGGCGCACCTTTTCCGGTCGAAGCTGAGCGGGCCGCGCACGGCTTGAAGCAACGAGAGGGAACAAGAAAACACTTTTTTTGATCCGCGGGTCGAGAGCGAGCCTCTTCCGACAGAAGCTAAGCGGGCCGCGCACAGGGGGGGCAAAGGAAGGCGGGGCCTCACGTCAAGGCCGGGAGGGGGCAAGGAACAAAAAAAAACACGGACACAATGGACCGTCGACACCCCAGGAAGTATGGGAGAATGTGGGAAGGGGGCTGGGAGGGGGCAAAGATCCAGAAACTACGGGAAGGTATGGGGAGTCCGGTTACTTGTGTCCATTGATTTGTGCGTCCCAGGGCCCCGTCAACTTCGGCCACGCGCAGGGGGGAGGGGATGGCTGAGTCGGGCACGTCCATCCTCAGGAGGAGTATTCCAAGATAGTCTAACAAATAGTTTTGGGGCAATTGTTCTACTATGTCTGATCATGTGGGGGAATGTTCGGGCTGTGTTTTATCTGTCGTCCAAGATCCGCCTGTAGGAGGACATGCCCGACCTAAGCGGGGGGGGAGGGGGGGAGGCTTCTTTGAAGCGCCCCTACTTCTTAGAAGGCGCGGGCCTTGCCTGCAGACGTAGGGCTCGCGCCTTCTCAGGAGCAGCCTCCCTCGAAGAGGCCTTCCCCCCTCCCCCGCCCCCTGCGCGCCGCCAAGGACTGCTGGGAGGGCGTGCAGATGGGCCTGGACATGGGATGGCTGCGCAGCGAGATGGTCAAGGATGGCGTCATAGCCTCCCTCGCGGCCAGCAAGTTCTGGAAGACCAGCTGCGAGTACGACGGGGCCTGGCTGGTGCCGGGCGCAATCTTTGTCATGGCGGACCCGATGACGACCATCAAGGACCCGAACCCGGCAACGTGCGCCGCCTTCTGTAGAGAGGGAGACGCCGACCGTGTCCCAGAGGCGGATTCCCTGGACAAGCTCCGGATGCTCTCCCAGGACAGCCCCCTGTCACCCCAGCGCCCTCCCTCCTCTCCAGGCGAGGCCCTCGTCGGGGAGAAGGCCCATGGCTTGCCCCAGGTGTGCCCCAGCGCCGCCGCGGCGGAGCGGGACTGCCGCGAGTTCGATGACGGCCTGCTGTCTCTCGCGTCGGTGCACACCGTGTGCAAGGCCTACGACCACGGGGCTGCGCGGGCCAGGGGCTGCGACCTCTGGCCGGGCGCGAGGCCCTATGTGGACTTCCTGCTGGAGGAGGGCATCCGGACGGTGCTGCGCCTGAACAGCCCGGACGAGCCCGGACTGGCGGAGATCGGAGGGAGCTACGACGCGGGGTTGCTGGCCGAGTTCGGGATCCAGCACGCGGACGTCCCCGTCACGGACTTCAAGGACTCCGGGAGAGGGGGTGTCCCCCCCCGTGGAGCCATCAGGCGCTTTCTCAGTCTGACCAGGCACGTGGGTCTCCAGGACGGCGCTGCCATGGTCGTCCACTGCAAGGGTGGCTTCGGCAGGAGCGTCTTCCTGGCGTGCCTCCGGGTCATCTACTGGTACGACGTGCCGGGCCGTGGTCTTCTCGGCTGGGCGCGAATCGCCCGCCCGGGAGCCATCACGACCCCAGAGCAGGAGGCCGCGTTGCGTTCCCTGTCTGGTCGTGGAGATCTTTGCAGGAGGTACGGCATCCCCCGCGGGGGCCTGGACGGTACGTCCGCGGCTCAGGGCTGCTGCACGGTGGCCTGAGCAGGCGCGGAGGTATGATATTTCAGTTGTTTTGGGGCTGGCATGCGTGTCAGGAAGCGCATGGATGTGTGAGTAGTATTGTACATTGTGGTCGCAATGCGTCCCCGTGGGAGTCGAGCGGACTCGACAACGCGATATCTCGACATCTCGATATCGGGGGCGGAGCCGGGCGGGGACTCGATATCTCGGTATCTCGATATCTCGATATTTCGACATCTCGATATCGGGGGCGGACGGATGGAGACTCGATATCTCGATATCGCGATATCGCGATATGTCGATATCGGGGGCCGGGCAGAGATTCGATGCCTCGATATCTCGATATCTCGATATCGGGGGCGGGGCCGGGCGGGGACTCGATGCCTCGATATCTTGATATCTCGATATTGGGGGTGGGGGGGGCTTCGAGGCAGCACGACCAGCATGGAGCAGCAGCAGCAGCAGCAGCAGCAGCAGCACGAACAGCAGTCCCCTCTCAGCGCGCACACGGTCGCGGGCCGTCTTGGAGCGTCTCGGCGCGCACACGGTCGAGGTCGTTGGGCCGTCGTGGGCCCCCCACGCGCTCTCCAGAGCTCCCCCTAGTGCCAGGCCGCCGACGGCCGTCGAGCCCGCGCAGCTGCGCCCATGAGAGCCTCGGCGCACCTTGGGGTTCTGGGGCAGGTTGCGGGGTCCTGGGCCGTTTGGGAGTGGGCGTCGGGCCCTCTTTGGCCCGCCACGGGCTCCCTGGAGCTCCTCCTCATGATGCCGGGCCGCCGACAGCCGTCGAACCCGTCGGGTTCTTCCGTGCCCTCCTCTTCCTGCTCCCGCTGCTTTGAAGGAAGTCTCGGCGCACGTGGGGTTCTGGGGCACGTGGCGGGGTCCTGGGCCGTCTCGGAGAGGGCTTCGGGCCCACTCGGGCCTTCCACGGGTTCCCTGGAGCTCCTCCTCATGATGCCGGGCCGCCGACAGCCGTCGAGCTCGCGCAGCTGTGCCAGTGAAAATCTTGGCGCACCATGGGTTCTGGGGCCCTGGCATCGCTCGGACGTGTGCGTTTTTTCTTCGGCGAGGACCATCGAGGAGCATCCTTGACCATTTGCCGAAAAAACCACGCACGAAACCGAAACAAACACAGGGAATGCACGTCCGAGCGATGGCGAGGGGGCACGTTGCGGAGTCCTGGGCCGCCTTGGATTGGGTTTGAAGCCGTCTCGGGCCCTCCACGGGCTCCCTGGGGAGCTCCTCCTCATCACAGGGAGTGGCTCGGAGAAGGAACACGTACTTTTCAGAAAGGGGCTCGGTCGTTCCTTCGACTTGTGTGCGTTGTGCATCGTTCCTTATGCGTTCCTCCCTGGAAGCGAGGGGCCTCGTTCCTGATTCGTCGTTCCTCGGGTCAGGCCGACGACTGTGTGCCAGGCCGCCGAGAGCCGTGGACCCCGTCTGGCTCCTCGGCTGCAGCCCTGTGCATGTCGACAGGCTGCGATGCCGAGGTGTCCAGAGCCCGCCCCCGAGTCCGACCCCGCCGCCGCCCCCCCCCCCCCGAGATCGAGCGGTCGAGATGCCGAGTCCACGCAGATACCCAGCCTTTGAGGCTGCGAGAGATCCCAGCCAGCATCCGAGTGGGAGCGGCACCTCTTGTTTTTTTCATACGAGGGCATGGCAGGCCAGGAGGCGAGGGGCCGAGGGGGGTGGAGCGGGGCCGGGGGGGGGGGGGGGACGTGCGCTGCCGTAGACGCCTAGCCGTTGAGGCTACGCGAGATCCCCGCCAGCTCTCCAGTGGAAGCGGCACCTCGTGCTCTATACCAGGGCAAGGCAAGCCTGGAGGCGAGAGGCTTGGGAGGTGGGGCGGGGCAGGGGGAGGGCGATGCGCTGAATTAGTCGGGCTTGTCGCGTCGCAGACTCGTAAACGCTGTCTTCGCACCCTGGACGGCAACGCAAACCATGCGGTGGTTCAGGGAAGCTTCCTCCTCATCATCCTTTAATTCGGTGTGGGCTGAGACAGGGGCGCCCTGGCATCATTGCTACGTGCGGTATCACATAGTGACGCACTGGGTTCTGGTGCTCGTTGAAGGTCCAGGCGCAACGCTCTGTCTTTGCATCGGTCCTTGCACCAATTCAGATGGGTGCTCTCATTGATGCCCCTTAGCGGCTAAATGAGCGGCCCCGATGCACCATTTGTTCGTGCCTATTCTGGTTCGAGTGCCTTCAGTGGTTCTGCCCTGCCGCTTCGCGCCTGCAGCGTCACAGTCACGAATCCCGTAGAGTTGGAGACCACGGGTCGCGATCTGCCAGCACGTGTCGGCCCAATTTCGGGCTCAAATTAGAGCGCATGAAGCGCGAGACCAATGCTCTTCCTGAGTGCAGGGGGCAGCCATCCCCAAGGCATTGCACGCCGATCGTATCGCCATCTCATCCTCCTCATTGTGTTGCCTCCTTCCGGCCGTGATGTCTCTCGTTTCGCGGGGTGGACGTCCAAAGCGCGTAAAGTCTGGGCGCTGGCTGGTGCGCGGCGCTAGGCACCCGTACTGGTCTGCCGTTCAGTTTTGCCGTCTTGAGGGCTTTACCAAGACCTATGGCCTTCTGGCAAAAGGAAAAGATGAAGAACCTCAGGACTCACTCCACATTGCCTGCTTAAGTTGCAGCGCTGTTGAATTAAATTAGCGTTGCGCGACGCACCATCTCCATGCGTGAAGTAGTGTGCGTGCGCGGCCGGTCCATCCGTGCTCTGAGGCTAGACCTTGGCCTCGAGGCGGACAGGATCAGTACCAATACCTGTCTCCTTCTCCCTTCATCCTGCGCCCTCCTCAAGTGTGAATGCTGCTGTATCTCCCAGAGCCGTGGCCAGGGGAATGGATGCTGGCGTAGTGTGGGCTGGGTGGGGGAGGAGGGCCGGACACTTTAGTGCAAGGGCGGCCTGCCGCTGCACATGTCCCAACTGTCCGAGACGAGGGCCCGACACTTTTATGCAAGGGCATACAGTTTTCGAGATGCGCTTCAGGCGAGCTAGTGAATAAGGCGTTTGCGGAGGGGGGGGGACAAACAGAACAAACGAGAACCAAAAGCAATGACACTCAGGGCGGCTTGGCGGCCTCTTCGGGGCCTCTTGAGCCGTCTTGGCTGAAGGTCGGACGAGGCCAGAACGCTCAAATCAGTCCCACATTCTGGAGAATGAATGATGTTGCCCATGGGGACCCTCTGGGGCGTCCTTCCAGCGGCACTCTTGGGGCGCCTCTGGGGCCTCTTGGCACGTCTTGGGGCCATCTTGGGCCTTCTTGGGGCAATAGTGAGTCCATCTTGGGCCGTCTTGGGTCCATCTTGAACCCTCCAGATGCCCAGTGTGATTGCTCAGTTGGCTTCCCGTCTCACATCAGGAGGTCCAGATCTGTCTGGTGAGGCCCCGAAGGACAGGGCTGCTGCACCCACATCCGTGCCTGTTGCGTATCGAATCACACGAGTAGATGCTGTCGCCCCTGCTCCCACAGTTGGTAGCTGAGCAGTGGTCAGCCCAGGGGGGGCCAGCCAGCGCGTCCAATGCGCGCGTCTGCTGGCTGCGGCGCTCAAGTGTGCTAGGGCGGGACGGTCGCTCAGGGATCGATCGACTAGGAGTGACGGCACCGTCGGCGCTGGCTGGTGCGCGGTGCTTGGCACCCGTACTGGTCTGCCGTTCCGTTGTGCCGCCTTGGGGGCTTCTGGGATGGGGCATGCGATGGGCGTGTTGTGAGTTCTTCGGGGCCTCTTCGAGGCCTCTTGGCGGCCTCTTGTAGATTTATTTTGGGCCTCTTGGCCTCTTTGGCCCTCTTTTGAGGCGTCCTTGGGACCTCACGGGGTTGAGGCTATTTGGGAGAAGAGGCTACCAAGACCAATGGCCCTCTTGCATCTGGAGGAGATGAAGAACCTCAGGACTCACTCCACATTGCCTGCTTAAGTTGCAGCGCTGTTCAATTAGCGTTGCGCGACGCACAATCTCCGTGCGTGAAGTAGTGTGCGTGCGCGGCTAGTCCATCCGTGCTCTGAGGCTGGACCTTGGCCTCGAGGCGGACAGGATCAGTACCATTTTAGTGCAAGGGCGGCCTGCCGCTGCACATGTCCCAACTGTCCGAGACGAGGGCCCGACACTTTTATGCAAGGGCATACAGTTTTCGAGATGCGCTTCAGGCGAGCTAGTGAATAAGGCGTTTGCGGAGGGGGGGGGAACAAACAGAACAAACGAGAACCAAAAACAATGGCACTCAGGGCGGCTTGGCGGCCTCTTCGGGGCCTCTTGAGCCGTCTTGGCTGAAGGTCGGACGAGGCCAGAACGCTCAAATCAGTCCCACATTCTGGAGAATGAATGATGTTGCCCATGGGGACCCTCTGGGGCGTCCTTCCAGCGGCACTCTTGGGGCGCCTCTGGGGCCTCTTGGCACGTCTTGGGGCCATCTTGGGCCTTCTTGGGGCAATAGTGAGTCCATCTTGGGCCGTCTTGGGTCCATTTTGAACCCTCCAGATGCCCAGTGTGATTGCTCAGTGGGCTTCCCGTCTCACATCAGGAGGTCCAGATCTGTCTGGTGAGGCCCCGAAGGACAGGGCTGCTGCACCCACATCCGTGCCTGTTGCGTATCGAATCACACAGGTAGATGCTGTCGCCCCTGCTCCCACAGTTGGTAGCTGAGCAGTGGTCAGCCCAGGGGGGGGCCAGCCAGCGCGTCCAATGCACGCGTCTGCTGGCTGCGGCGCTCAAGTCTGCTAGGGCGGGACGGTCGCTCAGGGATCGATCGACTAGGAGTGACGGCACCGTCGGCGCTGCAGCAGCTGCCGCGATGGTGGGAAGAGCCAGAGCAGGGCCGCAGCCTGAGCAAGCGAGGGAGCTCGTGCAAAGTGTGACCAGGGAGGTCATAGCAGAGACGCGAACGACCTCCCAGGCACTGGAGCCGCAGCTTTTCGCAACCACCCACTGAACAGTGCGACCCAGCGGTGGACCGACTGCGAGCAATGGCAGCAAGCACGCCAGCGTTCTGGCAAGGATCGTGTGTCATGAGGGCCCG